TGCAATTGGAATATACAACATGTGTAAATTCTTGGCAATTAGCAAGACACACTCAATGAAGGAGTGGTGCTGCAGGTGGGACCACGGACGACTTCTACTGTAGGTACCTATGCTTTCTGGCTGATGTTTTGGTTTTGAATGTTGGTGGTGCTTTCAGACTCATGGTTGCATTAGACAGACTCTACAACCCACACAAGTGGCTCAGGTAGTGCAGCTCATCCAGGATGGCACATCAATGTGAGCTGTGGCAAGAAGGTTTGCTGTGTCTGTCAGTGTAGTGTCCAGTGGAGGGAGGCACGACCAGGAGATATGGATGAGGCTGTAGGAGGAAAACAACTCAGCAGCCGGACCTCTCATGCACCTCCAGCTTTGTGAAAAGAGAAAGAGCCCTGCAAAGTGACCAGCAGTCCACAAATGTGCATGCGTCTGCACAAACAGATAAAAATTCCATAAGGATGTATAAGGGCCACATGAGATGTCCACAGATGGGGGTTGTTCTCACAGTCCAACACATGCAGGACGCTTGGCATTTCCCAGAGAAGACCAGGATTGGCAAGTTCACTACTGAGAACCTGTGCTCTTCAAAGATGAAAGTAAGTTCAAACTGAGCACATGTGACAGATGTGACAGAGTCTGGAGACACTATGGAGAGCGATCTGCTGCCTGAATACTTCAGCATTGGCAGTGGGTCAGTAATGATGTGGGATGGCATTTCTTTGGAGGGCTGCACAGCCCTCCATGTGCTCTCAAGTGGTAATGTAGTAGTGAATGACTGCCATTAGGGGCAAAGATTAGATCCTCCGATCCCTTGTGAGACCATACTGTATGCAGGTGCTGTTAGCCCTGGGTTCCTCCTAATGCAGGACAATGCTAGACCTCCTGTGGCTGGAGTGTTTCAGCAGTTCCTGCAAGATGAAGGCATTGAAGCAATGGACTGGCCTGCCCGTCCCCTAAACATAAACCTTACTTAGCACATCTGGGACGTCATGTCTCAATCTGCCAATGTCACATTGCACCACAGACTGTCCAGGGGTTGGCAGATGCTTTACTCCAGGTCTGGGAGGAGATCCGTCAGGAGACCATCCACCACCTAATCGGGAGCATGCTGAGGCATTGTAGGGAGGTCATACAGACACACATTACTGAGACTTATTTTGCCCTGTTTTAAGGACATTACATCAAAGTTGGTTCAGCCAGTAGTGTGAATGTCCACATTGATTTTGTGTATGACTCCAAATCCAAGCCTCCAAGGGTTAATAAATTTGATTTAGACTGATAATGTATTTGCTATATTTCTTGTCAGCAGGTTTAACTTTTGTACAAAACAAAGAATTCAATGAGAATATTTATTTTTTTCAGGTCTATGATGTATTATTTTAGTGTTCCCTTAATTTTTTTGAGCAGTGTATTGTCATTATATATGTACATCATTGCTGCTCCAGAGCGGAGGGGAGATTGCGCCTGAGAGTGGGCACAACAGCTGACTCATGTGCTACACAACAATGCATGCCTGACCAATTCATTCAATTTATAGTGGAGTTTTAGCCTCCCTAATATTCACCTGAGAAACAGTCACTGGTTTATATGTGTGTGATTACAATGTATCTGTCTGAGGTGTAGGGGTGTAAATAATAATCGTTTTGTATCGATGCATCGATCCAACAGCCGACGATCTGATGCATCAATACGTCCGCAAGAGTATCGAATCATGTTTTGTTTTTTTTCTTCCGGTCTATTTTTATCCATTATCTCCTGGACGTATTTCTCCCTCCCGTGCTGCGGTGGCGCTAAACCTATTTTGCCCTCCTACCTCGCTTCCTGGTTATACTCTTACAGCAGTGTGTTGCAGTGACCTTGACGGAGACATTTTTGATTTATGCTCAATATTGAAGCGTGGTCTGTGCTACACACTGTGGGTCTAGATACGGCCGAGATGGTGAGGAAGTCGTGGCAAGTTTAGTCCGACAACAGAGGGACATGAGGGCCAAAAAGAGCGGAGATCCAGGTGGAAAAAGGGTCCCAGCGTTCTCGCGCACCTCCCTCTTCTAGCTGGTCAAATTTCAAGAATTGTTTTTCTGCAATTTCGGTCATAAAAACAAAACAAGCCGGCCTCCCATCTGCGGCACTGTTTGCGGTCAGCTACAATTTGGGAGAGGTGCAGCGGATCCTTTGTGTGTGTGTGGGGGGGGACGTCAGGTATTGAATTGCAATAATTGCACTCATTGCACTAAGTTTGTGCAACATTTTTTGATGCAAGGCCTTGCAGAATCTATAACGCAGGGGCATTATTATTTTTCAGTGAATGAGGTTTTAATAGGAATAGGTGGAGTGCAACTTTTCTACTTCTGTTATTTGCTATTTTTTCTAAAACAAAATGCATAACGATATTGCAGCTTTCATTGATTTATTTCAAATTTGAAACATTGTCTAGCCTGTAAGGTGTAAAAAAAAAAAGAAGAAAATTAACCAATTAATTGAATCGAATTGTATCGTGGTGTATTCTTGAGTATCGAAAATAATCGAATTGTTGCGTCAGGGATTCGATACTGAATCGAATCGCCATGATGGGTGTGATTTAGACCCCTAGTGAGGTGTTAATGTAGGGAACTTCCTGTAAAGGCTTCCTCAAACTGTTGTAATTATTGTAATTA